ATGGCTCAGTGGATAGAGGCACATCCTGCCAAGCCTGATGACCTGAGTTCAATCCCTGGGACCCGTATGGTGGAAGGTGAGAACCAGCTCCTGCAGCTTGTCTTTTGATCTCTGTTCGAGCATTGCAGAACTCAGTGCCCAGTGCTCAGTGACTACACTGCTCAACCAGTGTCCTCAGTCCTCCTTGTTCAGTTTGGGTCCCTGGCGAATGGCATGGTGCTGCCGACATTCAGCGAGGGTCTTCCCTCCTCCGTTCATCCTCTCTGGAAATGCCCTCACAGACATGCCCAGAGACGTGTTTCCATGGTGATTCTAAATCCAGTCAAGTTGACACTCAACTTTATGTGTGTAAATGAAATACACCAGCTAAGCATTAAAACCCAGTTTTGATTAGAAAACCCAAATCATTTGTGATTGGATATTTATAGAGGCCCGTTTCCGATGAGAATAGTTAGGATTGCTACAGAACGAGAAACCCAAATATGTTGAATTGCAGTAAAGTAAGGACGTGGATTGTTTTATGCCATAGGAAAAAAACAATTTTTCAGTATGAAAAAGAATAGCTTTTTATATTCAGAGACTTGGAAAACTATTTTTACCAAGGTGTCTAGAATTGTATTGCACAATTGATTTGCAGACTGAGTGAAGAATTTTATTTCTTCACAGAATTTCTGTCATTGAGGGTGTTACAGTGACCAGTGGCAAAACAGTTGCAGTGCGCTTGTGCTTTTACCAAAGTCTTGGTTAGATTCATCTGTCACTGCACAGAATAGGGAGGATGTAGTGATTCTGTTGACCAAGTGATTGGAATATAAAACTGACGTTTAGATACAGATCAGTGCTCTGAGCTACTATATACAGCTCACCTAGGGTAAGAAATATGAACCTATGTATCTTTGGCCATTTTCATGAAGCAGGTACTTGAGGAGATAATTAAGTTGGGCATGGTGGTGAACATCTGTAATCTCAGCAGCAGGCTGAGGCAGGGCTATTGGTAGTTCAAGACTGGTTTTGGCTTCATAGTAAGACCCTGTCACAAGAGACATGAAGGATAAAGAGAAGGAATGAATACATGAAGGACAGTTGTGTCTCCGCCATGCTGCCCTGGAGGACAGACAGCTGTG